TTAAGTTAAATCATTTGACCGTTTCTTAATGCACCCCCCAATAAATGCATTCCGCATCGCCAAATGTTAAGAAAGAACATCATTTTGAAGTTATCAGTGAACCTTAGCTGGGAATTGAGAGAGTCTTGTAAAATACTTTGAATGTATAATTAATTCATGATATAAAAGATAATGGTGCGAAGATACATTTGCATTTTCCAAGCCTTAGGAAGATGTATGGTTATTGAAAGATAGGTAGAGGGAGAAAGAAAGAGAAAAGTGAAGAACGTATGGATGAAATGATAAGTAGGGTGTTCAGTTTGGAGCTATTAATATGCGAGACATTCTGAGTTAGACGAAAGGCTAAAAGAAACTGGCGACTGGGGTGCCGGGACTGATACTAATATATTCATGTCGTGGTTTCTATCTCTCTCCCCCTCTTTCTCGATCTCTTTTGCAGGATATTTCTTCCTAGGTTGGCAATATCCATTCCGTAACAGATGTAACTCTACAGCAGTTTTTTTTTAGGTGGAGGGAAGTGCCACGATAGATTGCTACATTACATGTAACCATATTCTATTTCCATCAGATATGGCATACCATGGTGAGAAAATGCGTGTTCCCAGTTCATTTGAAAAGTCTGTGTTTACCTAGTATGGTAATGGCCATCATCTCCATAAAAAGCTCTTTGTTTGGCACAAACAAATTTCCTCATATCCCGTCGGTCAAGATGTACCTAGGGTGAGAAAAAATACTTCCTTCTCCAGGATCATATTTTTATTATGGTGGCTGGCGTTTTGAAAGATCACTTTCTGAACTGTGCGGCAGTGGAATTTTAATTGGGTTCATTTATGAATGCCTGGCTCAATGATATATATCATCTTCTTCCACAAGCATTTAGTCCGAACAATACTTTTTGTGTTGCGTGCATAGTGTAAGTCCAAAAGTAATAATGAAGTGAATGAATTACCATCACTGAAATTGTGAAGCCATTTTTATTGTGCCTCGAATGGTGCAGCAGAATTGTTAGAATGAAAACATGTTTTAAGTCTGCCTCGTCCACCATTCTTTGATGAGGAGCAAGACGCGTATCAGCGTATGAGTGAAACAATGCATTCTTTCATTGCTGGAGTTCTGTGCAGCCGATGAGAGACTCAACTTTTCGATGCTGCTCTTTGCGAAGGGATGCGGTGGGGCAAGGCTTACTTTCTTTTGGGTTGAAAAGAAATCATCATACTAGCTTAAACCGAAGAAAACCTCGTTCATATAGACGGAATACTTGCTTCTGCGAGATGACGATCCAGAGAATGAAAAATCCCATCTACCAATTGTGAGACGTGTAGGGCAAGTCAGAGTTCCATTCAGCATAATTCTGAAGTGTAGTATGAAGGGCCCTTTTGAAGATCCATATTTAGTATGATCAATATGATCCACAGTTAGTTAGAAAATAAAACTTGCAATGGAACGCATGAAATGATCTTCTTTGGGTGGTTGCTGTTGCAGAGGTCACAGAATTGCTAAGAGTTGCGTGTTTCTTGACTCATCCTCGCCCGGTGTATTTTCTTTTCCTGTTCCCTTTGCTTATACTCTCTCCTTTGTCCATCCATGGCGTTTGCTTATTTGGTTGAATTTTTGTAAATTTCTTTCTACCGAAACCTAGCAATAACCGACTCTTCCGAACCCAACCTGATGTGTATAAATATTTAGCTTTTCCGATGACGGTTATTATCCTCCAATCTAGGTCCGATACTTGTGTGTTGCAAATTCCTACAGTGTGTCTCCTTTGTATGATGGGTCTCTCTGCTATGGAAGGCAATATACCTTAATTAAGAGGTTTTGAACGTTTCTTGGGTAACAGCTCCTTATTGGGTTGTCAACTTTTCCAATCAGGCCTGGATATTTCATTTTTGGGGACTAAATAGGTCATGGCTCATGCTGAAACGGGCAGGAGGATTGGATTAGTCCGAAGCCTCAACACCTGGGAAAAAAGGAACAAACCTTTCTGCTTCACTGCCCTTTTGTTCTTCGAGTGAAACCTGGAGACAAGTCCAACCCTACCTAATCACTAAATAAAATTTCGTGCGAAGTTCTCTTCGTGGTTGAGTAGATTTACCATACACAAATCATGGAACCGTCTGAGAGAAACGTATCCAGCAAGCGTGAACGCGATCGGAATGGAATGAGAGTGCAATCACTTCATTAACGCGGGGACGGGATTTTAAAGCGCGAAGATGAAAGGGATGCGTGTTGTTGCGACGCGACGAGACGAGAGGCGACTAGACGGCGAGGATGGGGTAAGCACAACTGGCTGGGGGAAGGGGAATGAGGAGGGAGAAGAATGTGCGAGAGAATTCGTCTGTATCGTGTCGTCTGCTTGGTTTTCAGAGGGGAAAATCAACGTTCAAAGGGGAAAATATCAGACCATTCGATAACATTTACGCCGAGAAATGCGATTGAGATGCAGTCTGAATTGTAGATCATTCTGTCACATTATGAAGGAAAGCAGCTTGCGGTAGTTTGAGAGGAAGGAGCCATGAAGGGGAAAACATGACCGACTTCTGAGTAATTCTCCAACATGCCATCAAACAAATTATAATGGGTCGGAGGGGAATAGACCCCTATGAATTGTAGTCTGAATTGTAGATCATTCTGTCACATTATGAAGGAAAGCAGCTTGCGGCAGTTTGAGAGGAAGGAGCCATGAAGGGGAAAACAAATCAATTCCATCAAAGAAATTATGAAGGATCGGAGGGGAATAGACCCATGGGCATATAATAGGGCAGAAATCTCCTTATTGGTCGTCACTGAAGGTCGAGGAGAAAGATGACGGCAATGTGAGCCTCTAAAAGCACCAAAATTGCGACCTATTACCCGACTTCATAGCTATACTGTATCGATCCCAAGCGAATCGAGGCAGGCATTTTGTTGTCTCAGAGGTCGATACGTTCCGAATACCTGTTGCTGTCGAAAAGTTTTAATTATTCATGTGATTTAGCACCGGACTCCAGGGGAGCCACGCCGATAGAAGTATTGTCATATGACTTTGGGGGTTGAATCTAACCGGCGACGTTTCTCGACACCCGAGTTGGAGGAACCAAATGCTACCGTCTAGCATTTGGAACTACCTTGGTAGTCCGACTGATGTATCCCCTGCCCCAGGCACATTCGTGGATGCCCTTTCGTTGGAGGAAGTGCATTTGCAACGGTGCATGACTAGAAGTCTAGAGACCCCCTGCCCTTCCGGCGCGGCCTCCCAGAAACAGTCTCTCTTTCCACTCCGCGCAGGCTCATCGTCCCCGATTCCCGCGTTGAAGACAGCGACATGTTTGGGATCCTTTGAAGGCCCCATCCTCCGCCCATCCCACCCCATCCACCCTTTCAAGGAACACGTCCTCCAACTTTATTAGTTTTTACTAAGCGGGAATATCCTGTCGTAGATATGATGTCTGATCTAAGGATTTATAACATTTATCAAGCTATAAATCCTTGGATCTGATATTGTCGATCGATATATTTAATTTAGATTTTCCATCATAGGATGGATTTTCGAAGGTGAAGGGAATCATTACAGGCTTGTGAAACTCTGCGCTGACAGGAAAGTGTGAAGGAAAGGAGTGGCGAAGAATCGCAAAGTACTTAGATGACCTGGAAGCTCTGAGCGAGGATCGATTTCCTGAGGATTCCATTTCCTCGGCGTCGTCGAAGGCGTCATTTTGATGATCGCCACTGTCTCTTCCAGTTTCCTATGACCCTCCATATTGTCTGGTCTGGGATTATCGGTTGCCATGGATACCGGTCCGCGGGAGTGGAGGTCTCGGCCGGCCGGCGGCCCAGGGTGCCGAATCCCGCTTTGCGGATTTCGACCGTGTCCTCCTCACGTGAGCTTCCTGTTTCCTCCTAAGCGCATGGAAGAGGAACAAAAGGCAACGAGCGTTCTCTTCCTCAGATCTATCAAAAGATATGACATTTCGCATATTCACACGCACTTTATACGCTTTCATTTAGCTAATAAACGTGATTAATGACCTTCTTTTGTCTCCTTCGCCCATTTTCTTGCCTCTCCGCCATGAACTTAGTGACGCATGGATGCAGACTATACGCCAATTGCAGGAATCTTTCCATTCAGTTTAAATGAATTATATCGGACTGATAAGACATGGGGACTTATATACCTATGTATATTGTGCTAACATGGACACGCGATAGAGGAAGAAAATTGTAGACTTTGGAATTTACATTACTTTTCTCTCTATTTAAATTTGAACGTGTTTGGCATCAAAGGATATCACATTCTCGTGAATACCTGATATTTGTTCAATTGTACTAAGTTCAAATAATCATGTTGGAGTCGTACTGAGAGACTCTAAGTATTGTCGCAAAAATAATCGCCTAATGTTCAAGAAAGTACCGTTAGAAACGAAAGCGATTAAGCGTAAAATTTAGAAATTAATGCTTACAAACTCCCAATTGAATCATGTTTTCAATGTCATCAATTTCCTGTATGCCAGTATCTAAAATTCTTGACAGCAACAACATCTAAAATTGATAAGACTTCATGAAAATTGGTTGAACAAAAATTTGCTCGTTTTCCTCCCGGGAGCATTCCTGGCAGGCATTGTAAACCCCGAACAGATCCTTCTGAAGGCGTGACATTGCTCAGAACTTTTACAGAGTAAATGCATTGCATGTGATATGTAGAATACGTGTTTATTATAATTGGGAAAAGAGCATATGTATGCTAGTTGGAGCTATATTCGGGGACTTTGGCAGCAATCTTAACGCATGCATGATTATCATTTTCTTATTAATCGGCATCAGCTGATGGCAAATGTACATGACAATCTGTTCTTGAGATCCCATAAGTTTTACGTTTATGAGAAGGAGAACATCCTCACCACAGCATGGTTCATATACATTACGTAATTTCCTCTATCACACACGTCGAATAGAAAGTCCCATACATGGATACATATGGAACTTGCCCTCTTATGGTAGCGTGCTAAATCATAAACAAAGAATATTTAGCGTTTCTCACCGAACAACCGAACCGCCAAAGTTCTTTCTTTGGCTTTCTGAAATGCACGGAAAGCCCATGATTTAGAATTTTTGGAATCGAAGTGAGACATATCAATACCAAGTTGACTGAAATCCTCCATGCATTCTTTAAATGGATCATAATTTTCATCCAGATTCTCGGCCAATTTCGCTTTCTCCTTCGCATCTAGAAGGTATGTGATCCTCTGCTCAAACCCAGGTTTTCCTTCTCGTTTTTCGCTCTCAACCAAAAGGTCAATATACTGTGTCATACCTAATGGATCGGGCTTCAGGGCTATCTCGTCGAGCTTGTGTAAGCATTCGTGCGCCTCTCTTATCAGCTTCAGAACGTTGGTCCTCTCTTTGTTGAAATCCTTGATGAGCTGGTCTAGAATGCGTTTGGTATCCATTTTTTGCTTATGAGCTTCCTCATATGTCTTCTTCAAATTTTCATAAGTTTGTTCTTCCTCTACCTCGTAGGTTTCGAAGCGATACGAGTTATTGTGATGCTTGTCCCACTCGCACTTATTTGGACAGACCTTACAGACGCTACTGGTGATCCCAATTAAAGAGAGAAACCCACCGGTCATCGCAGCACAAAACTTTTTCCAGTCACCTGGATTGGGGCATGGATAATGGCAGGTGAAGCTGCACACTGTGCAGTTCGTCACGTACGTCCCCACTTCCAGGTCGACCTTTCTTTGCTTTGTGACCTTGACTTTGTACGTGAAGTTCTTGTTCGCATCGGCCTCGCTTTCGTGCTGTTTCAGTGCTGCATATGTTTCCCTCATCCTTTCCGTCCTTGACGAAGCTAGGGAATGAATTCACGATCAAAACAGCATCAGCTACCAACATCTGCATCGCGTCAAAGCAGAAACATAGCAACATCTCATCTCACCTGTTTTAATTTGCGGCAAGATACCCTGGAGTGCTACCTCCAAGTGTTTCCTCTGCTTGAGGACATATTGCGTAAGAGTCAAACTGACGGGCTCCGTGTGACGGAATCCCTTGAAGAATCTCTCAAAGCTCGACATTCCCATATTCCAAAAGAAACTATTCATGTCCTTAGCATCAGGCTCATCTGAGGGGTTCAAGAAAAATGCGGAACTATTTAATTTGAAAAAACTTCTGTACGGAATTGAGGCATCTTCGAGGGCAGCTAGCACAGGGAGCTTCTGACCGTCGGAAAAGGTAATCAGCACATAAATTATTTTTTCAACATCTTTCCCAAACACGGCTAGGATTGAGCCAAAGATGTACTTTTGAGTGTGAGTCAGCCTGGCCAAGGAGGACTGGACAACGAAGCAGATTCCATCAAGCTGGTCCACTCCGATGTTCCCACCATGCGAAAAGAATTCGCGGATTTGAATTCTCAACTCATCGTCTGCCTTGATCCCTTCAGTATCTCCAAAGCCGGGAGTATCGATGAGGGTCAACGTGTAAGGCAAAGCGAATCCCTCCTCGTTGTGCAGGACATACGCTGTGATCCACTTGGTCTGGCTGTGGGCTTGGGTCATCTCTCCTGCTTCGTCAACGATCAGTTTGAAGCGAAATGGATCATCCCACTTTACTCCATACAAATAATTTATCATCCCATTGATTAGTGTACTCTTTCCTGGAAAGAATAAGTTGGTTTAAGAATTTTACTGAATATAAACTTAGTCGAGAAGCTTTCATGAGATGGTCATTACCAGCTCCTGTGGCTCCAACTAGCATGAGTACTTTTCCCGGTACACTTCCAGGTCCTGGCGCCCCAAACTCGAACTTTGCCAAACGATTCGTTGGATCTACGTTCACTTCCTTCCGGGGAAGTATATGAATGAATCCGTCAATGGTAGTGCAGGTCATTTGAATTTTTTGAGCCAATGTCACCTCATCTTTCTGCTGTCCCGATGCTCCCTTCGAAGAGAAAGTACCGTTTTACGGTGACCGGTCACAGTTAGCGATTATTATTTACTTGCAACTTTGTTTGACTGTCAGGCAAAAAATACTTGCTTTCGATGCCCTTTTCGCTCGAACTACAATCTGAGAAAATCAGTATTACATTCAAAGCCTTCGTTAACGATGCTCAGGCCCACTAATGAATGAAAATTTCTCGGGCCATATGTAAATTTCAGTACCACTTTAAGTTGCTTCTAGATTTGCGTAATAATTGCCAGCCCAATTTCAGGGAAATTTTGCAAGATGAGGTTCTTCCTTTTCTTGGAAGATTACCCCTAAAAATTGTTCGATACGATGATTTTTAGAGCACAAATGTGAGAATCATTTTCCTACGCAATATTTGAATACGGCAACCGCTTACCCGCACCGAAAAGATGAGGAGGCTAGGAACCAATTCTTTTAACAAAGTCTTATGATAATTAATTTCCAATGGCTCTTCCTTTCTTCACTTCCCCAACTTGATGGGGGAGGGGTTGAAGTTGCCACATTTCTTTTTTCTTTTTCTACAAGACAATGTCTTTCTCATGGTTGGTCTCTTTCCTCCAAACGTCTTTTGTGTTGAGAGAGGAAGTAGCGAGCTAAATTTCGTTCCTGTTTATGGTTTCAGAGAGGAAAACGAATTGGTTGAATTTTGCCTAGGAGAGGAGGTTGAAGAAAGTTACCTTGAGCATAATTCTCCGAATTACAGGCCTACTAAATTTTCGTTTCCTATGTCAGCCTAATTCGCAACAATAGTACATTTTTCTAGGTTCCCCAAATTCATGTGCTCAAAGGACAGGTTCCCATTAACCCGATTTTCCCCTAAACTCAGATTCCCAATTTTTTTTGCGTGTCCACTTTTTCCATTAATGCTCAGTTAGATTGAGAAAAAAATCTAGCATGACATATTCCTTAGAAAAACATACCCTTGGAGAATGTATCTATTAAGCAAGATTTTTCCTGAGATGTGAATATCATCGGGTACTTTCACATACCAAGGTTCACATTTCTAAGTCACTCCGAATTATTGAAGTGTAACATAACATGATTAAGAGTTCCCACTCAAAAAATCTACCCCCAAGACAAGTACTTCTGTTGGATTGCTGTGGATTGATCTATTGGATTGTTGGAGAGCTGTGAGGAAATGGGACATACAAAAAAGCAAAAGTATTTACTTATTATTAACTATTACAGTATTTACTTATTATTACTATTTAGAAGCACAAATTCCCCATCCTTCCTTTGCGCATATTTATGGATTTGCGATTTCAATATCATTATCGTCATAACATAAACGCTTGAGAGTAACATTCTCATGGCGGTATATCAGGAATGGACGAGAGAGAATGTGAGATTCTTATGAAAGGCCTTGGAAAAAAAATTATATTACTTCTTTTCACTGAGTCATTGAACCGAAAGCAGAGACTCTGGACTCTGAAGCAGTTTCCGGAGTAGTTTCTCTCGTGGGATGATGTGACCATTGCTTCCCATTGCTTAGCTCCTGGTACTTCGGAAAAGTAAACTGGAGAATTTCAGTGAACTTCTTCTTTCTGTCAGACTGAAACAATGTAAGACTACCAGCTTCTGTGGGTTTTTCCCCCACAATAATGAGGGTCATTCTATCAACGACGAAGACCACGAGAAACCTTGAGATGCCTACCTTCCAGTTCCCTGCAAATATCACTCACTAATGCCTAATCTGATAGTCCCAGTCCCTCCATTTCTAGCGCATCGCTCTTTTGGGGTCCAGGATTATCCACTATGGAATTCAATAACTCTGTCCCCATGTCCAATGCACAGATGTGGAGTTCATCAGAGTATTTTGGGGATTTACCTGCTCCAGGACCTGCACACCCAATATTTTCATGGTCATTGACATTTGAATTGCTAAATGATTGAATTTGTTGTATATGTTTATTCTTGTAACCAGTCGTGGTATGACTGTAAATAATAAAGTTGGTGGAAGCACCCCAAGACTATTCCCATGCATACCTCGGATATATCTTAAAAACCGGCTCATTCTCGGAGTGAACAATTCACATCTTCGACAGCAATGTAGGTAATAAAGTTTTTCTAGTGGAATGGCTTACAATGTTCCCCTGGTCCGGTGTATCTTTAGGAATCGAGGCACATGGATTCGGTAACTTCATTCCTCCTCCTCCTGCTCCACCAACGCCACATGTTATGGGTTGCACAAGAGTTCAGGACACATGTATGAATAATAAATAATTATTTCTTGAAGGCTCACTCTAAACAATAAGGAAACAGTTTTCTTACTCAATTTGGCGTGTTTCGCAGGTGAATGCTCACAATAGGCACATTCAAATTCGTGCTTCTCTGATCTCTCATATTGCTCACAATCACAGTCATCCCTTGAGCACTTCCCTCTTTCTATCCCTCTCGAGTCAATGTTATTCATTGTGAATCTTCCCTGGAAATCAACATCATAATAGAGGTTCATTGATAATTTGACCCACGTCATAAATATACCCGGGGTGATGTAGGCAAGTGAAACATGGCACGGCAGACTACAGTATAATAGACGCGACCACACGCAGAGCCTTAGTCATAACGCATTCTAAATCCTTGCTCCACTTCATTATATAGTCTTTGGTTATGTCTATCATATATTTTTCAAAGCGGCACAGCAAGAGAAAAACGTAATACTGTAGTTAAGAGAGTCTGCGGTGAACGCGTGGAATGCTTTAATTACAACGTAGTGCTGCCCCTTCCGTGACTTTGTTTACTAAGCGACTATATGACAAAGCTATGAAGGGGCAATGTAGGCGTAAGGGACTAGGCTGTAAGCGACTAGTAAATGCCAAAAGATCTACATTTTGCAAACAAGTTTTAGCTTTGCATAACCAGGGCCTAACAAGAAAAAGACTATTAACTTTTACATACAGGGTGGTCCACAATTGCCTCCCCAAAAGTAAAAGTTTATTATTCAGAAAGTATACATCCGATTTCAATGATATGTGACGCAAACGATAACCGATTCAATATATTTTTACTGCAAACAAATTTCGGCATTCCATAAGAAGGTAGAACAAAGTAACTTCCTTACAAATGAAAGCCGCCAAGTCCATATGACTTCCACAATTTTCAATGATTTGGTGCAGTCTCCCTTTGAATGCTAGCAGATTTCTCTCAACCGTCTCTGGTCCTACTGTGGCGAAAGCATCTCTAATGGCAGGTTTCAGCATATCTAGGTTGCCATAGGTTTGTCGATGAATCTCTTCAGGCTCAGAAACCTCTTATGAATTGCTTTCATGATCTTCTCATCAGGAGCTGAGGCATTTGGACCCAAACTGAAGAGATTTATTATTTTTCCGACCATTAATTTCTTTTTTTCAAATTATCTAACAAAATGGCAATATTCGTATTGGGGTGCTGGAGCGCAGGAGCAGAGGGCAAACACGAAGCTCTGAAGATCATTCACTGAGAATCTCGAGCTTTTGCAGCAATTGCTTGCAACAGGTGTCTCTGCATACATCTATTGCAAAAGCTCGAGAGTATCAATGAACGATCTTCAGAGCTTCATGCTCGCCCTATGCTCCAGCGATGGCGTTCCAGTAAAATTCGCCGAAAGTTACCCACAAGGGTAGTGTCTCCTTTCTCCCACCATCAGAGTTCCTTTCAGAACAGACAACTGCAATTTTTATCATGAGTCGCAAAATGAACGTAATTCAGACCGGCAGAGTGCCCAACGATTTCGACGAGAATTGTTGGAGCTGTAGCCTAAGTTCCGTTCCTTTTCGATCAGCCAACTTATTAGTACGCTGAGTGCAAATGGAACTCACGGTCGTCCAGGGGAAAAGAAGGTGCTGAGAATATTAGACTGGCACCACACGTCTACACTCCCCCCTCCCTGCCGGTCTATCTCGTGAGCAAAGTGTTTGAAAGAACGTTGCCGGTGATAAGGGAAGCCTTATCAGGTACTTTAAGGACGCCTCAGATATTATCACGCGTCCGTAAATGGAAAAGGCGAGCCTGCTTGCTTGTCACGTTGACTCTCATTATGAGAAATATGTTTGAACATGAGTAATCGTATAAATAACGAGTGACAATTCCGCGTTTTTCTCATCGCTCTTCAAGAAGCCATATTATTTGCTCCATCATTTGCCATTCATCGAGAACTCCCATCAACGCCTTCGGTTCCCAGACACCATTTGGCTGCTTAAAGGGCACTCATGCTTCAATTTCCGAAGGCTATATCATCACCTAAATAATTAGGCGATATTACAGCCTTCGTGAAGCTCCCAACAAGGAGATGGAAGGAAATCCAATCAGATCATGATCATACGACCTTTCTGGTGCTCTTAATCAAGAGCTGGAGGGAAATACTATCAGGAAATGAAAAATGTAATGAGTTCGACCCCGGAATTCGACCTTAGGGACAAAAAGTCGTTGTTCTCTTCTGGCATTTGTGTATTATTGTTTGGCTTTTTTTTGCTCGTCCTTCCGATTCATAAGTATTTTTCTATTTCGAGTGCCTAGCCAATCATTAACCGGGGACAATTTTTTGTGCTGGAGTTTCTTTTTTGTGATATTGTTTCGTGCATTCGTTTGCATCGTGGGTCGAGAGAGATGAGCAAAGGAAGACAGTGTGTCAGGCGGCTCTGAGACAAAAGAGAAATCGATATAATCAAAGGAGGAGACTGGGAGTGAAGAAGAAAACGATATTCCTTTCCTTTCAACCCTTGACTTCTCATAATTCTTCATGAGAAAATAAATTTTCTCATGAAGGACGGGCAGGCGGAATCTTCCTTACCCCACCTCTTCCCCCACCAAAAAAATCTCTACATATATAAAGAATAAATATTGTCTGTGTGTCTGTCTGTTCCTTTATGCATTCAGACCCCGCAGGAGCCACTGAAACCAAACTTTGCATGGCCTCCACTTCCATCCAATGAATGTCGAGGGCTGCGTTTCAATCCAAAACTTTCAATCCCAGGTACTTTTCCGGGGTATTGTAGTGTCTGAGATGTCATCGAGAGGAACGACTGGTGGTAGTGCAGTGGTAGCACTCCTGACCGGCGATCAAGATGCCCGGGTTCGATTCCTGGCCCTCCCCTGCCTCTTTTTCGTCCTCTCATGCCATCCAACTCTCCCCTCCCGGCCACCTGCCTGCCGTCTTTTGGTGTGACAAATGAAGTACGTGATCCAGGCTTCATGCCCGCCTTTAAGAAATAGGGTCAAGTCTACCATCCTTACTACCACTTCCAAATGAGGAGCACCAATTTCTCCATATCGATATTTATATTATCGGTGAGGAACAACGGGAAGCAGAGCAGCGTTGCAGCAACATTCCTGGCCCAAGTCAGAACATCGTCCTGGAAGTGCAGCAAATACTTCACCACCACAACAGCCTCGTCCAAAGTTTCAAGACTGCTCTTGAAAGGATGCCCTCGGATGAGTACAAAGTGGTCATTCAAAAGGACAAGAGACCAGCTGGGGACCATGAGCGACGTTTCAGTCCACCCGTGGCAAATGAGGTGGCCATCGTCATTGTGAGCAATTAATTTGACGGGCGGGACATTGTCTTGCAGAAAATAAACAACCAGCTGCAGAGTGTGGCAGAGACGCATAGGTCCTATGATGCCTTACAATACCCTCTCATATTTTGGCAAGGAGAAGACGGCTACCAATTCCGCATCTTTTAGATTGATCCAGGGACAGGAATGCATAACATTGAAAATTCAGTCAGATGTTTCATAACATTGAAACAACATGTATTCAATGTTGATTCAACATCCGGATGTTAAATTAACATTGAATCAAAGTTGATTCAATGTTATTTGCTTATAGGAATGACACTCTTCAATTTCCTTTCGCTTAGTAAGGTTTAACGCGAGAGAGATATAACCCCCGTATGGCGCCCAAAGGGATGCCGGCGCCGGAGGGGGTTAGACCGTTGTTTACGTGGAGAGGGGTAAGGGGGCTACCGTGACGTCAGGG